TTTTAAATACAAGAAGAATCATCCTTTCAGTGACACCAAAGCTATTGATTCCCTTTAGCACAGAAAGTGGGATTCCCTCAAACCCAATATTTCACAACCATGCCTGCCGTTCAGGGCAGCCCATGCAAGAAGCCGATGAATTGATGATCCTTCCTTGCTCACCACAAAGACAGGTAAGGGTCCCCACTGGATCTCGCTACAGTTGAACCAGGGTTTCAGCCATTTGCCGGGGTCCTTCCCTTGAAAAACAGAGCATTGGCTTCCTGAACTTCGGAACTGGCGGTGCGCTTCCCACAAAATGACAAGGGCGGCTTTCGAATGGCAACCCTGAAAAGGGAAGCGGGAAGATCATAAGAAACCATTGGCCAAACTTGCTGCCCTTGAGGTCAAAGCCGCAAGCATACTTGGCTGTGGGTCAAAAATTGGTACGCAAAAAGGAACCCTGGTAAGTAGAAATAAGGACTAAAACCTGCGGCCCCCTGGTACCACCAGCCTGTGAGCCGCTGCGCGGACAGGTTCAGCGTCCCCGTCTCTGCGCAGCGCTGGTTTGCCCTCCGCACCTTCCCCGCCGAGCCGTCGGCGTCGCCCGCCGCGGCCTTGATGGTCGAAAGGCTTCAAGGGGAGTTCGGTCACACTCTTAGCGCAACCAAGTACCAACAAATGGCTGCGGGTCAAAAATAGGTATCCAAAATGGAACCCTGGCAAATGGAAAAGTAGACTAAAACCTGCGGTCCCCTGTGGTTCAATTTTGACCCATACCCAAATTATGAGGGAGCCAAACACCAAACAACCAACCAACCAACCAACCAACCAATCAACCAACCAACCATCCAGCCAAAGAACCAAAACGACTGAACAACCTCCTTTTCGCTTCTCCTCATGGTTGTGGAAAGTAAAATGTTGTGTGACACCAAAGTAGCCCGTGTGACTGCATTATGACTTCAACGGGGGGACACTTGGTCACTTCCTGAGCGGATTGGGCCAAACCTGTTTTTACCACGAAAATCGTCCAAGCCCAAAAAATGAATCAAGCCCGAAACGAAACTCAGGGAGTGAGCATCACAAGACTTGATGCTAAAACAAGGAAAAGCGGACGCCCTGGGCCTTGAAGAAGTTCTCGTTCCGCAGGCGCGCCATGGCGATGTGGGATCGGGGGAGACTCGGACGGATGCGGGTGTTGGATGGGTGTGCGCTTGGGTGGAAGTTGATTGGGGGAAAGGAACAAAGTTGTTGGTTCAAAGGATGGTTGTTGGTTCCAGGTTTTGGAATTTTTGCTGGTTGTTGGTTCATCTTTTTGTCCCCCCCCCAATTTGGTCAGAGGGAGACCAAAAGGCCAAGAGAAAAGAACACAATGCGGGGGGGCAGGCAACAATGTTGCGACGAACCCTGGTGAAGAAGTTGGGCAAATGAAACACCGAAATGCTTGGCTGACCCTTTACTGAAATATGAAGAAACTAACCCAACAAAATGCATGAACATGTTGACATTCAGGGCCCGGCCTGGCCTTTCGGCACATGGCATGGAAAAGTCGGGGACAAGCCGCCTGAGCCACAAAGGCTGGCTAGGGACAACACCACTCTGCCCAAGCACTTCCAAGCCACCGTGCTTGCTGGTGCCAAATTGTGATTCGATCTTCTGGAAACACGTGCCCCAGATGTCCATTTACAATCGGAACCAACTAAACTGAGAGAACCTGGAAGCCCTGTTTTGCCGAATAGAGTTCCCCTGTCGCCACAGGAATTCCAATCCAAATGAAGATTCACGCCTTTGAAGGCTCCGAAAATGAGAATCGGATTTCCCGAGCAACCTGAGATCAGGAACCAAAATTTCAACGCCGAAACCTCAGCTCGGCCCCGGCCTGGTTCTTGGTGCCCCGGTTGGTCGTGACGGGCCTGAGGAACGAGAAAAACAAGCCATGGAGACTGCCATTTGGACGTAGCTGCAAATACAATACTTCCGAAACCATCCGGGTAAAGGACCTACATCTCTCGAGGGCGGTCTTGCCTGAGTGGCCTGGCCCATGGTCAGGGAGACCCACACTAATGTCAGAGAAAGCTCGACATGGAGGCGGCCACCATGGTCGGCGCCTTGGCACCGCACCACGACAGTTTGTCACACGATCCGCGACAACCGGGCGGCATCCTCTACGCACTGAGAAACACGCACAGTGTCCACTGAACGGCGAGGATGCCACGAACGTCCTGCCACAACTAGGCCTGAAACTTCCACCTCCACTTGCTCCGAGAACTCGTCCAGGACGTGGTGTGAACTCCTCTTTCCAGTGCGAAACTTGCTGATGGCACACACGCCAGCCACTTGCTTGCTCCAACCCGCGAATGCGGGACAAGGAGCTCTTCACGCCAGCCACTGAGACAGGGTAGCGCTCGAGCAAAGCATAGTGTAGCCGATGCAGCCACCGTTGCTACCCCAAGTCATGAAGACGCGATGGTGGAACCCTCGTTCTAAAGACATTCCACACAGGCAGGATAAGAGTGCGGCAGGAGACCAACCCCAGGCCTTCTCCCAGACAAGACAAACGCACAAAAGGAACACGCTGCACATCAAGCTCCAGCGCGACCTGCCAAAGGGAAGGATGCGAAGGGCATACGCAGTCCAGGCAGAAGAAGTCCTCTGGAAACACCCGGGCAGCTGGACGGCCTCAGCTTGCCCGGCACAGAGAGCTGCAATCTTGAAGCGCAACGGCTACGGACGGTTAAAGGACCTACATCAAGGTGAGCCCATTCGCCGCCCCATGTTCAGTAAAACAGGGGAATTGCCAGAGACTTCTACCCTGAACTTGAGGCTGTACATTTGTCGGCGCTTCTACCCTTGTTGGGCGAGCTATTCTCTCTATTCTGTTTAGGGGGTCTTAACTTGCTGTTGGTTTCTCGGTCTCTCCCTCTCTCTCTCTTTCTCTGTCTTGGAGCTCCAGCATTCTGCCAAAACCAAACAAAGGGGTTGCAAGCAAGGGGTTGCCTGGGTTACTATCAGGGTCCTGGGGAAGGCTAAGTTTCAGCAACTCGCTGGGGCTTCGGTTCACTCATAGTGGTTCTCGCTGGTCGAAGATGTATTCCCCTCTCTGCTGGGAAGTTAGATGGTGAAAAACGATGGGAACAGGACATTCACCCAGCAGCTCGTCATTCAAGAATCCGCAAGAGTTTCCCCTGAATGGATCGACCCAGCTGCGTGGCTATTCTGACCCGGGCGTTCCGGCGCAACGCAGTAGGTGTCGCCATCAGTGGTGTAGGACATCGCGAGGTCAGTCTGCGAGAGTCACGGACAACATGAGCCATGCTCAAAGCTTCTTTCATCCAAGGATAGGCCTAGCATTTAGGTAGGTTCTTTGTTCGTCATGTTGGTCAAGGGCAAAGATGTAAAATTGTCCCAAATCTTGACAGTTGTGTGGACGATAGATGGACAAAATTCACTTCCCCCTGTGGGGTAGGTGTTTGCTCCCAGTCTCTGATAGAGCTTCATCCATCTCAAGTTGCTAAGTGGTGCAGGATCTTGCCCATCCACAACAGTGTCCCCAGGATTGGCTTGAAGCGTCGCGCTTTATTCGGCGATTGCATTCGAAAAGCAACAAATATAATGTTGTCTTTTGTAGGGAATTTGGGAATGACCCTTTGGGGTTGCTTACAAAGTGAACTGTTTCTCCCAATTGAGACAAACCCATATTCCCTTTTGAGAGCAAGCAAGCAACAAAACACGAGATCCATCTCCCTGCACGTCCATGGGTGCCCCACCAGCACACGGCTGCCGTCAGCGAAGACCACCCGCCCGGCGTCCATGATGCGTCCGGCGGGCACTTCCTGCGCCGGGCTCGCCCGCCGGGGTTTGTCGGCCCTCACGGGTACGTAAGCTATTCAAGCATCGTCAACCTCCACAATGGCTTCCACTCCCCAACCACTTCCCTCAAGGAAAAAGGGGGGGAAGGGGAAGGTAGAAACCAGCTGAGCCATTGTTTCAGAACCCCACAAAGGCGCAACCCGCAAAAAACCTTTTCCAGCTCCCAGTCGCTCGCCCTCCGCGTGGGGAAACCGCGGAATGGCGCGGAGTCTCTCGGGGCGCCGGGGCTCGAAGACGCATCCGTCGCTCGGGGCGGTCAGCGCTCAGCGCGACTCTACTCAGCGAGCAAGAGGCACCTGGCACGCGGAAAGCAAAGCGCACTTTCAGGACTCAGCGTCCCTCAAATTGGCAGCTAGGATTGGTGGTTTGGTGGTTCGGGGTGGCTTCCCATTTGCCCTCTACAGAAGCCAAGGCTTCAAATCCCCCAACCCCCAACCCAAACCACCAGCTCAGGGATACCTGAAGAATAGGGGGTTCTCAGAAAGGTTTGGATGGTTTTTCGGGGAACCAGAAGCGCTCAAGCCATTGGAGCTCGTTTCCTTGGTGAAACCCCGGATTCTCATCGCGGACCCTTTGCCTCCGGCAGGCGAAGTGAGGCCGCGCCCCCCGTGAGCCCGCTCACCAACGTGTGGTCCTGCCTGGGGCAACTCGATCGACGGTTGATGCCCTCGATGTCGCAAGTAAACCAGCCATACGGGACCAGAAAGCCAGGGCAATGTGCGGTCAAGTATAGGGTTTCTCTTGTTCACGTTTGAAATATCTGGAGCATCTACCGTGGGTTTCTGACCTTGCTTGAAACTTTGTTGGACTTTGTCAAATGACAAGTAAACCAACTAAGACAGTTTGGTCCCATATGTTCGACCAAACTGCCCACCTAAGCTACTTGCCGCGTGGTCCGTGACCAAGCACACATTCCCTTTAAGCTGAGAGGTATCAACCCACAAAGTATGCATGGATGTAAATAAGGGTGTATTTGGGCCACATATGGCATGTTTAGACATTCTAGGGCCTGGTTCATTCTTGTCACTGTTTTGTTCAAAACTCGGCTGCTCCCTTTGCCCCTGGGGTTGTGGAATTGTTGCGGGAAAAGGCCGCGACAGGAGAGGTGGAACTTACCCCGAGAAACATGGGAGAACCTCCCTATTGACTCCAATCGCACGGTCCGTGATCGTTTTCCCAACTGAAAAGTGGTAGCAAAAAACTAGCTTCCTCGCAGAAGGAAACCAAGGGCAGCCTGAACAATGTTGTAAGACACAAATTTCTTGGGGGGGGGGGGGGCCTTTCAGAAAAAGCACACGGGATTCCTTCAATGCCCCCATACATCACCCCAAGGGAGCTCATGCAAGGTGAGACTGCTCTTATCTGAATCAAAATGAAGCAAGCCAAACACTAAAACACACACCTAAAGATTAGAGAGGCAAACATTGAGTTTTACCCTCCCACAAAATACAGACATCGAACCTGCACGAGGCTCCCCTGAGTGCTCGCCCCACCCCGCAGCCCTCGCAGAACCTCGCGGGACCCTCGTGGAACCCTGGTGGAACCCTCGTGGAATCTTACCTCAGGGCCGGACCACCCCGGAGCCTTCTGGGCTGAGACCCCAAAGCTTTCAGCTGTTGGGGAAAAAATGGCTTTCCAGGAACCCCTGCTGCAGGTTCTACGGTTCTTTGTCTGCGGATACATCACTCGGACCTCTTCACTTGACTCAAATGCCCAGTGGTCATGATGGGAGAAAAAAAAACACAAAGAAGAATCGGCACCTTTCTTTTGTTGGTTGAGTTTAAAGGGGAACCCTTCCCAAAAAAAAGGACAAAAGGGCGGAATCCACTGGGCAACTGGGTTGAGCTCCGGGCCAGGCCCTGAGGCTTTGGGACCAGTACTGGACCAGGATGGAGCTGGCGAAGCGGCTGGCCTAGCGAACCCCTCCCAATGGCTGAGGCAACTCTGAGAATTGATCGCTCGAGGAACCTGTGCAGTGCGGCTTTGACCCTGGTGAAAAGCCAATCCAACAGGCAGGCTAGGTTCCTTTTGAGTGCAAGCCCCTCGATTTCCTATGGCAAAGCCTTGGTTGGAGGTGATCCCCTTGCCAGCAAACCTTTTGACCATTTGGTTTTGGAGTTCGTGACAAACAACTGCGCTTTCGGAGGAACTTGTCCATGCATGTTGCTCAACACTCCAAAAAGAACAAGCCTTCTCTTGCAAGGCCCTTTTTTTGGCTGGCATGCGAATCTTTGGGAAAGTAGTGAGTAAACTAGGTCATGGCATACCACCTGCAGCTCTACCTGCAAAACCAACAAGTTTAAGGTTGACAAGGGCCTTCGGGAAAACTCTGCCAAAAAAGAGTTGAACCCTCCACTAAAAAGACTCCACAAACAAAAAAAACACAAAACAGCCACTACAAGTAGATGATGGGATGTCAGTAATGCACGGGCTAAATGATTACACACATTTGTCTATGATCATGACTTGATATTGCTTCATGGTACCCCACAACCCTGTTCTGATTGCTCAGCCCCTTGATGTCGGCACCCGACTCATCAAAGGGTGCCAAATACAATACAGTATTCTAAAATTATTCTCTACCTAAAGTGAAAAGGGGTACCTAGCACATTCTTTTTGGGCCAGGAAAAAGTCTGGGACTCAATCCCGGAAAAGGTTGGTTGCTGTCCGGATTTGTTTGTCCGGAAACAACACCCATACCCCAAACTTCCGATTTCCTGACACATCCCCTACACAGAACTGCTCAGGCGACAAATGTCCAAGGGGGGAAGGAAGCACATGGCCAACCCAAACACTTTTTCTTCTGAGTACTGAGAAAGTCTGAATATCTCTGCAAACAACACCCATCCCAGAAATACTACTGCAAACCGAAGCCTTGTTTTGAAGAGAACCCCATTCCAGTATCAGAAGAGGGTTCCCCCAGAACGGGCCCGTCACTTCCGCGCCAACCACCCCAAGGCCTTCAACAACACCCAAGAGATTGTCCTTTGGCATGCTCTGAAATCGCCCCTCTGTCAGTCCTAGGATTCATCCAAAGGCCACCTGGTTTACAAGAGAATCCTTTAAATCATCCGGTGATCTTGCAACTGGCCCTGTCTGTGCCCAAAGACTGTGCCACCGCTCATAGCCAGCCGTTGGATGCTTTCCACCGCTTGATCGACCAAAGGACTGGCAAAGAGAACAGACCCAGCGGCAAGTATTCCAAAAGGGAAGCCAAACCGGTGCGGGCATGCAGTTTGTCACCCACAAAAACGACTCCAAATAATTGGCAGTGTGCTGCCCCTGCGACCCAAGGGCTTCCAAATATTTCCATCCAAATCGAAGGGGGCAAACCCTAACAAACGTTTTGGAGAGGCAAACACTTATGGCGCACGTTTGAAAAGTACCACCTCTCTTTCTGGTTTTTGAAGGGGTGACTAAAAAACCAAAGAGCGAAACCATGTTGCTCGAGCCTCGGTGCTCTGCTCCACCCCCACGCACCGCGGCGAGACCGAGCCACGCTGCAGCACGCCTCGCGACGCGCCAATTCGGGGGCCGTTCGCACGACTCGAAGTCTGAATGTCAGGAGACCTGCAAAGGAGTGTGACTGCCTGGTTGTTCTTCGTCTGCATTTGCAAAGTCAAATTTTCCTGGTTTTTGGGAGCTTGCTATCAATGTTCCCAAGGTGTCTTAGTTGAGGGTACCCATTTTCAGTTATCGCATCATCCCCAACCCCCCCCCTGGTGGGAGCTCTACCATGACGACCATATCACTTTAGAGGGGATTGCGTTTGGTATCACGGCAAAACGGCCCCAAACACATATCCGCATTTGTGATGAAAGGGGCAAGAACCTGCCCACCCGCCCACCCACCTACCCATTTACCCTCCCGAAAACAAGAAGAACAAAAAGGAGAAAAGCCAAGGAAAAAGAGAGAAAAGCCGAGGGGGAAAAAAAAGAAACAGCTTCTCAACCACACACCGTGTCTGGTTTCGCCCGCATGATCTCAGCCCCGGGCTCAGGGTGGCGAAGCCTCCGGAGCTGTCCACCTGGTCGCTGAGCCACTGGAAGCCCAGGAAGCAAACGTCACCTCGAGCGCACGGGCGCGCGCCGGGTGGGTGGCTTGGACCTGACGGGGGGGGTATCGCCTCTTGGCTTCAAATCCCCAAACCAGCAATGAAGCGGTACCTGAAACAAGAAGAAAAAACAGAAAGAAACGGGAAGCATGGAAGACTCATATGGAAAAGCGCGGAACAAATCGGGAAGAACCCGAGAAACAAGATGGCAGTCCCCCGCAAGTGGGTCCCCTTTAGGCTGTTGTTTGGAAACAAGCCAAAAAGAAGTCCCACATGTTGGACATCGCCAACCAAATGCGTGGCACTTGCCGACGGCATTGGTTTGCCGCTTGTGATGTCTATTGTGTTCGCCAGTTGAGTTAAAGAAGGAAGAAAAAAAAACGAAAAGAAAAGAAGAGAAGAGGAGAGAAGAGAAGGAACGAAGGAAGGAAGGAACAGAGAGAGAGAGAGAGAAAGAAAGAAAGAAACAAAAAAAACAAAAAAAGAAAGGAAGGAAGGAAGGAAGGAAGAAAGGAAGAAAGGAAGAAAGGAAGAAAGGAAGAAAGGAAGAAAGGAAGAAAGGAAGAAAGGAAGAAAGGAAGAAAGGAAGAAAGGAAGAAAGGAAGAAAGGAAGAAAGGAAGAAAGGAAGAAAGGAAGAAGGAAGAAAGGAAGAAAGGAAGAAAGGACGAGGAAGAGGAAAAGGAAGAAAGAAGGAAATATTACATATATATATATGAGTAATAAAGCAATGAAAGGAGAAAACAAATAAAAGCGCAAAGAGAACTCATTTGTTTTGCCTTGGCTCTAGTTTTGTTGTTGTTTTTGTTTTTTACGCACACACACACACACACACTTCCCAGAGGAAAGTGGTTACTGCCGTTTGGATACCTTCCCGTCATCTTGCATTGATTCCTCTCTTCTGACTCCTCTAAAGACTTTTACTGAGAGAAGGTCAAAGCCCTTCTTTGTGGACATATCTTTCGAAAAGTGGGATAGGCCCGTAGTGCGTCCAGGTGCATGCGACAAGGCCAAGGAGTCAAAGCATACCGTGGGAGCAAAGGCACACGTCCTTGGCCCCCACCCTCCTTTGCCCGAGCCCAAACCCAAAGGTATGCAACGAAGATGGGAACAGTGTGTTGCGAGTCAAGGGAAACAGCCCATTTTGAGGGCCCCTTTATTAGGACACAACCCTTTTGGACCTGGGATGTCGGTTTAGAAAATGTTCTGGCAACGAGTTGGAACCCTTCTTTCAGGATCCTCAGAACTCGCCACTTTGAGATTTCTAAAGACCATAAGTTTTTTGGGGTCCAGGGAACTTTTAACCGAAATTAAGCCATCCTCACGCAAGAACTTGGTAAGTAATCATTTAGCCTCCTCTAGTACCCCCATCGATTGATGTTGAGCGAACATGTTTCTCGGGGCCATCACCCTGCAAAACGATAGATAGGGCTTGCCCCTGGGGAAGGTTTCCAAGAGCCCAAGAAAGATATACCCACGGATGGCCATATCTTTATTGGCAAAAAAAAGAAAGCCCAAAACAAGGCAGAAAGCCCCGACCGTGGTTGTGGAAAGTGGGCAACAGTAGGCTTTTGCCACTCTCCGTACCAGGTTGGAATGCGCTGGGCGCCCCGCCTGAGGCCGCGCACGGCACGCCCGTCTCCCAGGCCACTCCAGTTGCCTATGCGAAGAATGAATTCATGGTTGCTGCAGAGCTTGACTTGAGGATCTCTTACATGCGCCAGGATCTGTCCATGCACTTGGTTGTGCTAAAGGGAACATGTGTCTGCAACGGCTAGGGAAACACACACGTGCCATTATCAAATCGTACTGTCATCGATTTCTTGACGGGAGCCCTTACATTGGTGCTGACTAATCCCGCATGGGGTTGCCCATCCCCACTAACCCCAAGCAAAATGGTACGGTACGATGTGCCAAAGAGGGGAGAACGATTTAAGGACAAGGATAGCAACCATGTTCCGGGGCTGCCCTATGTTTAACCAAACTTCCAGGGCCTGTGGAAGTACAGTGGGTCGCTGCTGATTCCGCAAGTACAAATTCGACGAACAGTTCCATTTCGCACAACCGAGCAGGAATTTGACCACGTTTAGTGGGAACCCCTCCAAACAAAAGAAGAACAAGCAGGCCCCAACAAATTCGGCGTAGCTGTTTGGAGTTGACCATGTTTAGTGGGAAACCCTAACAAAGAACACGAAAGAAAGAAAAAGGTTGCCATCTGAACCACCAACCCACAAGTTCGGGTTTGGTTGGTCCCATTGTGGGAAACCCTCCAAACAAAACATGGAAGAAACAGAGCCCTTTGGTGAGAACCCCTCCAAGCAACAAATTCGGCAGAACCCAAACCCTCCAACCGCCTGCCTCAAAGGCGTCTGCGGGAAGCCCTGTGGGCCGCACGTACTTCGGCCCCGAGAAGGCGCTGCCGTCGTAGCGGAGGCCGTTGCCTCGCGGGCGCTGACGGAACCGCGGACGGAACCGGGGGAGGGGCGGAGCGAAAGCGGGTCGGATGTTGCGGTGGTGGATGTTTCTTGGCTCTTTGTCTTGGTGCTGGTCTATACATATATATATATACATATATATATATATTGTGGGACTCTTTTAAGATGGGGTGGATGCGCTTGCGGATTTCAGAGACGGGGCGTGTTGTGTCTGGAAATGATGGTTGACACCGGATCTAACTAGAGCCCCTGGTTAATTCCGATTCACGTGTCCCTTTTGGGGCTTGCTCTGACAAACGAACCCATCGAAATATTGTTTATGAATCCGGGCTTCCCATTCTGGGAGACCCAGTGATGCCAGGCAAGCCACTGACTCCTTTGGGTACCTACCACACAGACAGGCTCACTGAGACAAATCTTTGTGTGAAGGTTAAGTAGAGGGACCCAAAAATGGTTCTCCTTTTGGTTGCCCTAACCAAGGCGAAAAGGCTGAGCCTCAAAAGAACTCACCCCCCGTTGCCATACGCCGCCTCCGCGGCTTCGAAAAATCTGAGGCCCCCCACCCTGCAGACTGCGGAAGGGTCTGGCCTGGCCATGCCACTCCACGGAAGGCCAAAGGGAGAGAACTTTTAGGGACCAAAGGGAAAATCCCTCCATAAATTGGGCTCCAGAAGGTGGGGAAAGTGAACCAGGACACCAGTCAAAAGATCGCTTACGGTGCGCCGACGCGGGCCCGGATCTCCATCAGCTTGAACGGAGAACCTTTCTTCAGAAAGCTTCGGCCTTACGGCCCCGGTATCTCATTAATCGGAGAGGGTCAATTGTCTTTTCCAGGCTTTTCCAAGACAAGTTTGGCATGAGAGAAAACCCAGCACTGGGGAACTCCGCCGTTTCTTGTTGAATTTATATCCGAAAACAGACACGAACACTCATGGATGAAATGTAAGCAGGACTTCGCAGACTCACTAGCTTGCTCGGCTGGTTGAACTAGCTGGAACGCGCAAATCGAAGAACGGCCCTAAATCAATTTCGAAAGCAACCACACCTGTTCACCAACACATTTGCTTGCTTGGCTGTCTGGCTGGCTGGAATGTGCAAACCCTGGAAAGAGCGAAATATCCAATGGGAACAAAACAAGCTGCTCGCTCTCTCGCTTGCTTCGGCTGATCGCCTGGCTCGACAAATCAACATGCACAAGTCCAAAAGCAAAAAACATGTTTCCCCCTTTTGGGAGAAGCCTGGATCCAGCTTCAGAAAATTCTGCTTTGGTTCAGAAAACCGTGGTGCGTGGGCGGGACATTTGGTGAAATTCTTCAATCTGGTCGCTCCAACTCCGGATCCAGAGTTGTGACACATCACCCGAATACTGCGATACTGAAGTGGAATGTCCCATCCAAACTCTGTCACCTGGCTGCTCACAGAAACTGGCATTTTCCAAACCATAGCTGCCTTAGTTGTTCACAACCATGGATAGGCAAAACAAAGCTTCCACTTCCTTGCTTCCCAACTTCCCACTGCCCTGAAAAAAATGTTGCATGGATCTCACATTGGCAAGCCCTTTGGACCTTCAAAGGAGAAAACAGGGCGAATGAGTCTGTGGGGCACCTCTTTGATCTGACTTGAGCGGCGCTCCGAAACCGGTTGACGTTCCCCCCGAATCCAAATGTGTATGCATAAAAATGCTCATATATATATATATATAGAGAGAGAGAGAGATATACGTCTGTGTATACATATATATATATATATACATGGGCACCCGAAACAGTGTTTGTTCCTTTGGGTTTTTGCTTAAACCAAGGTGAAACTGAGAAAGTTTAGCTTCAACAAAACCCAGTCACAGGAAACCAAACTGAAAAGGGTTCACCGCCTGGATCTCCGTGGTGCAGGCGGCATCGGAGTAGAAGGTCACCCGTTCCACCGCCTCGAACCGGCCCTCCCCACCCGCCGGATTCACACGGCGTGGCGAAAACCCGAAGCAAAGCATCTCCCCGTGTCCTCGCAAGTTGCTGTCTCCCAGGAACTATGGCTGTGAAAAGGGCAAAGTGTCTGCAACACAAGCATCAAATTTGGTGACCCAGATAACCAGGAGAACCACCCAGGAAAAACTATCAGCAAAAAGGGGTGCTGGTACTATAGTATCTGGGATCCACTGGCGGCAAGTCACAGAAACAAGCAACTCTTGAACTTCCACCGGAACTCCCCAAATACTCAAGGTTTTGTTTTGCGACTCCTGTAGCCTGCAATGGCTGGTTCGGTCTGGTGGTTCGGTGATTCGGGGGTGGTTTTGCTCAAATCCACAAACCTCCAATCCAAACCACCAACTGAGGGTTACCGGAGTAAATTGTCACGACTGGGTTTCTTGACCCCTACCATCACAAGGAAGCTCTCGCTCAAGTGTGGACCAAAAGTGATGTTGGAAGCACCAAACCGTGCCCAAAAACGAAACTTGTCAAAAAGTTGTGTTGAGCAATGCCAACGGCGAAAAAGGGAACCTGCAAGAGCTTGAGTCTTGATGCACTAATGCAAAACCCATTTTGTGGCACAAAGCCGAAAAGGGCACGGGTTCATGGCAATTTGTCCATCCCACATCATGCAGGTACATGGGCTTGGCTCAGGGGAACCTCTAAACTGGTTTGTTTCCAAATGGTTTCTTTTTAACAAACCCCCCATTAATAACAAAAAAGACGGACAGCTACCCATATGTCAAAGCTACTGGGTCCATGTTTGTGAAACGCTCAAATTTGTTTCTTGAATGGTTTCCTGGGAGACCCGAACGCGCGAGTTGAGAACATGTTGACTACGTTTGAAGGTTTTTGACCATTACCCTTACACCCTATTTCCCAGCACACACATGCATAGTCAAATCAGTTTGTCAGAAACCCGTCCAGGTTGCATTGAAGGGAAACCAAAAGGAAAACCACTCCAAATCCCGATTGGGGCCAGCCTCAGACTGTCAGAGGCTTATACTGTCAGCGAATGTCCGAAGCTAGTTTTCGCTAGGCTTTCGCCGGACCCACACATTTTTACCCGAAATCAAACATGGTTTGATGGAAGAGCTTCCTGAAGGAGCCCTTCCTGAAGGAGGTATGCGCAAGTAAGTCCTTCTTCGACTAAGGCAAGGCCCGTCGAAGCGGTTGGTTAAAACCATGAAGGCCATAGATCAGGCAAAAAGCAGGTGCCCCCTGCTGAACTCTGGGGGCCCCAACCCAGGTCAGCCCAGCGTCTCGGCCCACCTTAGCGAAGCTGCGATTGTGCTGGCCGCGACACGAACATCCCCTAAACTGCCGAGGAAAATCGGGCATACAACCACTGTACACCCGCTATGTAAAGAGTGCGTACGCATGACTTGCCGCAGGGGTCACCATTTCGACACCCAAACGCATTTTAGCCGACTAGGTCAGTCTCGGCCTAATCGGCAGTCTTGGAGTGTCACTTCGAGCAAAACACACTGGCCCCCTCTGACGGTCTTCGGCGTGATCACGGAGGACCCCAGACCAATTTTTGGCTTGAGCTGCTAGCACATGCCAGGCTGGCCTTTTACTTCCGCTCCCTCCAGCATCGGCTCCGCTGTTCCTGCTTTGTGGCGCGGCTGCCCATGGCCCTCCCCCAACGGGTCGCTGCATGCCTCGTTCCAGCAGCTAGGCATTGTGCGCAGTCAGCGCCAGGTTCTCCGCTTTCACCTTGACTTGACCCTTCCGGTCAGTCCATGACCTGTCTCGGCCACAGCGCCGAGGGACTCAGGACTCGCGCACCGCTCTGCTGGCGCCGAGCGTGCGCCGCAATGATGGGTGAATGAATAATCACGCAGTGTGCTTTATCCCTTCGCACGCCAATTGCAGACAGAGGGGGGGCTCGGAAGAAGCGGTCAAAATTTTCCAAACTTGAACGATATGCACAAACAAGGGCGGCTAATCTCTGAATGAGCCCACTACTAAACATGGCATCATTCCGGATTGTCTAGTGACACGCTGAAGAACGGCTCATGTGATTGCGGCCATTCTTGGGAACCGAACAAAACACGCAAAGGACATGGATGAGCCCTCCGCGGAGTCTTCACAACTTTCGCATTAGCAAGTGAGCAACACTACCTCTTCCTTCCTCTGCAAACTGGGATCTCCAAAAAGCCCGCACTGGTGAAATTCTCACAGAGCTCAGCAGAGGTCCTTTGTCGGCAAAGCTTCTGTTCCCTACCTCCGAAGAAAAAAGAATCCTTCCTTAGGGGACCTGCTCCAGGAATTGGTCTTCCCCACTCCCTGCCCGAAACCCGGCCGAGCGAGCGAGCGGCCACCCGCTCCCCTCGCGCCGGCTTCGGGCCTTCAGGCCTTCGGGCCTTCGGGGCCCCGGCCAGGCGCCAGCGGTCTGACTCCACCGCCGCGCAGGCGACGAAGGCCACGAAGGCCACGAAGGCCAGCGCGCGCATCGCAGCGCTCCACGGAGCTCAGCAAAGGAGCGGCGGTCGCCTCGCGGCGCTGGCAGGCGAGACAGGCGAGACAGGCGAGATGTTCCAAGAAAGGAAAACACGTAGGGAGGTGCCTGGCATAGGGAGATGTGAGAAAAGAATGTCTCAAAAAAAGAAAGGCGAAATGAGCGCGACAAGGCGAAATGGGCTCGAAAAGTGGGCCCTGTTACATGTCAGAAGCTTGCGAGCGAGGATTGCCTGATTTCCCACAACTGGCAAGTCAAGGGGTCTAACCATATCTCCGCTTGAAGGGTGGCTTGAAACATCACATGCTAGCTGCCAGCCGGCAAACATATCCTTCTCGAAGTAATACACACATCACCTACTGGAAAACCTATCTTAAGATGAATGTCCTGGGGAGAAAAAGGTTGGAAGTCAACCAACTCCCCCCTCCAAAACATGGGTGTGATTTTTCATTGGGGACCCTTTCGTGGACATCATTTAGGTGGGGATTCATGTCCCCACAGGGAAAGAACAACGCTGGGAGTCGCGCGTTGCCTGCGTGGCCGGCGTGGGAGAAGCAACTTTTCAGGGGCCATGGCACTGCTGGAATTGTAAGCTCTTTGTTTAAGCTGAACACCTAGATTCATCGATTCGCTTCGGGCAAGTGAGAAGTCCTGTCAAGCCTCCTAGATCGGGAATCACCAGCTCATGGACGTCAAAGAGGGGATATGAACCGCTCGATGCGTGCCTCTCTGAGGTCTTGCTTGAACCAATTGACCGCACAACCCCGGCTTGGCTCGCTCTATTCTCAAGTGTCGGTTTGTAACATATCCTTCAGTGCCCTTTTGCAAAGGTGGATGCCCTTTACACATGGTCATGACTTGTGACCCCCGAAGTGAACTATCCAACTGGCGGTTTCCTTTAAGGGGATCTCCGAAAATCCCAAACCCCCTCTTCATTCCCTGTTCAGAATTAACAAGATGATCATTGCTCTCCATGGTGGTGGCCTCAGTGCACCGGTCCAGCCGGCTCCAAGCTTCCAGAACTGTTTGAACTGGGAAGTTGAATCAAATCAGAGCCGATTGGAAGGGACTCTGTGTCGCAACTACTTGCCCCGTCCCAAAAACATCACCCACAAGCTCGTTTGAAATTGGCCCGACGGGAACATGTTCTTGAGGTGCCAGTTCTACACAACTGTCTTCTTTGCCATTTTCCTTTTCAACCCACAGAAAAGAAACAAACAAACAAAAGCAACACCAAGTCAGCAAATGGACCCGCTGATTCTTGGGAGCAACCCACGCGGATCAAAGGGATGGCATGATGGAGGGGGGGACCGTCGCGTCGATGTCCCGGTAGGTCCTGGCTGGCTCTTTCTTACCTGGTTGATGTCTCATCAAATGCTCTTCCACTACCAAAGAATTGGTGGCCTTTTGGTTGAACATATCAGTTGAATTCTCGTTGGGGTGACTGTAAAACAAGAACCACACGGAACTCAGAACCCTTGTATGGGAGGGCTGATCCAACGGCGCATGAAGCTCCAAGATGCACGGTTCTTCGCAAAAAGATGCCAAGCTTTGAACCAAAAGCAGCGCAAAGGGAGAACCCTGCGACGGCCTTTACCCTGCCTGGTGTTTCCTGGGTACCTTCCTGGCTTTCAGCCAAGCCCAAGCCCCTGTCCACGTCCCTGCATCATGAGTCGGGACCCGTGCCGTCCTGAGGCCATCTAACGAATACGAAGGCCACGCGTAGTACCAGTAGTTCAGCCTAGGTGGCTCATCCTGCAAAAAACGATACCCTTAAAACATATTCAAACCACCATTGTTCAAAGCCTTTGCTTGTGCTCAGGGCCTTGCTATTTCAAGAATCCTCCTTTGCTTCAACCTCCTTTTGGCATCCAAAAAGGAAGAATCCTGGGGTTCGGCCCCGAAGCGCTATGAATGACTTTGATTGCTTAAGGTGCCTTCAACAAATGCGCAGCCCTCAAAAATGGTTTGGAGTCCTCCTCTTCATCCTTCAAGGACTTGTTGAACCTGCGTTCCCACAACCAGTCATCACCCTCGGTGACCATTTTCTTTTTAATCCAACAGAGGAACTCTCTTTCCAACCATTCAAGTGCACAAGAGGACTTGTCAAGAGGACTGCAGTCTTCCAAAACCTCCTGTCAGCTGCTACGATTGTTGGAAAGAGGGTACCTTGAGCAACTGGGAAGATGATCCTCAAGTAAAATATGATTCAAGAACAGTGAAGACCAGGGGATTCCAGCAAAGGTATGACAACAAAAAATGAAAGGGACCTTCATCTTGAGTGACCTCAATTTATCCTTAGGTGACATCACTGCGTCCTGTGTTTGTTCTGTGTCCAGAGCGATTCAGACTTTTCTCAAAGTGAGAAAGTTTCAGTCGATTCCATTCATCCTGCAAACACTCCAGATGGCAGGTGTGTGTGTGTGTGTGCGTGAGGATGGGTGGGTGCTTTTTGAGGGGTGCCCCTTTGTGGGGTTGCTTCAACGGGAAGCCAACGCAAACCACCCCATTGGATAGGAGTTGCGGTCCAATGGCATGTGAGGCTACCAAAGGTCTCACACGTGGAAGGAGCCCTGACCGAATGTTCTGTCTGGCAAAAGCGCTTAGCGGAATCACGGGCTCTAGGAGAACCCATGCCCGGGTCTCGTGCTTACGACCGCGTTCCAAGTCCCCCAAATGCCCCCCAAGCCGCAAAAGAAGCTAGGCAGAGCGCGTGCCAACCACCAATCCTGCCGCGGCTGCGACTAGGTACCTGCGCGTGCAGAGCTTGAAAAGAATCCAGCTGAACTTCCATTTTCCACAACCATGCCACTCTTTCTTCTTCGCAGCCTTCTTCTTCCTTCTTCCTCTTCTTCTTCCTCCTCTTCTTCTTCTTCTGCTTCTTCTTCGTGTCCTTCTTCTTCTTCTTGTTCTTCGTCTTCTTCTTCCTCTTCCTCTTCTTCTTCTTCTTCTTCTTCTTCTTCTTCTTGTTCTTCTTCTTGTTCTTCTTCTTCTTCTTCTTCTTCTTCTTCTTCTTCTTCTTCTTCTTTTTCTTCTGCTTCTTCTTCTTCTTCTTGTTTGTGTCCTTCTTCTTCTTGTTCTTCTTCTTCTTCTTCTTCTTCTTCTTCTTCTTCTCTTCTTCGTGTCTTTCTTCTTCCTCTTCCTCTTCTTCCTTCGTCCTCTTCTTCTTCTTCCTCCTCTTGATCTTTTTCTTCGTGTCCTTCTTCTTCTTCTGCTTCTTCTTCGTGTCCTTCTTCTTCTTCTTCTTCTTCTTGTTCTTCTTCTTCTTCTCCTTCTTCTTCTTCTTCTTCTTCGTCTTATTCTTCTTCTTCGTGTCCTTCTTCTTCTTCGTCGTCTTCTTCTTCATCATTTTCTTTTTATGATTCTTATGTTTCTTATTCTTCTGTTTCTTCTTCTTCTTCTTCTTCTTCGTCTTCTTCTTCTTCATTTTCTTTTTTTATTATTCTTCTGTTTCTGATTCTTCTGATTCTTCTGATTCTTCTGTTCTTCTTCTTCTTCTTCTTCTTCTTCTTCTTCTTCTTCTTCTTTGTCTTATTCTTCTTCTTCGTGTCCTTATTCTTCTTCTTCGTCTTCTTCTTCATCATTTTCTTTGTTTATGATTCTTATGTTTCTTATTCTTCTGTTTCTTCTTCTTCTTCGTCTTCTTCTTCTTCATTTTCTTTTTTTATTATTCTTCTGTTTCTGATTCTTCTGATTCTTCTGTTCTTCTTCTTCTTCTTCTTCTTCTTCTTCTTCGTCTTATTCTTATTCTTCGTGTCCTTATTCTTCTTCTTTGTCTTCTTCTTCATCATTTTCTTTGTTTATGATTCTTATGTTTCTTATTCTTCTGTTTCTTCTTCTTCTTCTTCGTCTTCTTCTTCTTCATTTTCTTTTTTATTATTCTTCTGTTCTTCTTCTTCTTCTTCTTCTTCTGATTCTTCTGTTCTTCTTCTTCTTCTTCTTCTTCTTCTTCTTCTTCTTCTTCTTCTTCTTCTTCTTCTTCTTCTTCATTTTCTTATTGTTCTTCTTCTTCTGCTTGTTCTTCTGCTTCTTCTTCTGCTTATTCTTCTTCTTTTGCTTCTCCTTCTTCTTCCTGTTTTTTCTGCGTTAAAAATTGTTAAAAATCAGTGCAAGTTTCTCACAGGAACAATGGGGTTGCCAGCCATTGAACAGTTTCGCGCCAGCGGAGTGGTGCGGTTGTTCTCGACCTTCGGAACCCCGATATGAGCCATGTTCACATTGCTTGTTTGCGCCAGAGGATATGGCAAAGTTGTCGAGTCTCCTGGCTGTGTGGGGAAATTTCGTGATCCCCCTGATGTCCTTCCCAAACGGACCATAAACTACTGATGCTGTTCTTTTCTTTGGGGGGGGCATGCTGTGTGTGATCACAATGTCGGTTTCAGCCAGGGTTTCAACTTGATACCCTGCAAAAAGCTGCGAGTTGGGGTTCCACTGTTATGAGAAAAGCGCGGCAACTTCCTGGCCCTTTGTTCAACAGTCAGAACCCCCAAACACGATGCCACGATGCCCGACCTGAGAAATCCAAACTCGGAGAAATCTAGGTTCCATCCAACAACGCAAAGCCACTTAACACCTCTCCCACATTTTTGCAGTAGTCTTACACTTGCAAGGACAACCCATCGAACTTCAATGGACAAGGGTTGCGAGGCGCAGCCTTTCGCAGAGCGCCTTCTCTTTCCAGAAAACTGGGTTGCCCCAAAGCCTGTCATTACATAACTGACCCCAAAGACCCTTGACCAGGTTTCCACCCAAATGAGCGGTGCAAAAAAAAGAGAGCTGACTTTTGGTTCTGCTGGCTGCGGCTTACACAAAACCTTCCGAGGTTCTTGCGTGACCACGCATCTTGCTACGCGCGTATTGTCCTCCAACAGAACCAACAGCCGCTTAAGCAGCGCTTTCGCGGCGCGGTCTTCGAGAGCACGGTTTTCGAAAGGCTCCTTCAGTAACAAACCCAGCTGCCGAGATTCCGCGGAGCTTACGCGACGCTAGTTTCTTACGCGAGCTTGCGCGACCCACATGTTTCGTTTAGGCGGAAGCATGCTACAAGAAGGGGGTAATCATTCACATGGGGGGGGGGTTGGGCGCTGCTCAAATGGCTTCTGAGCATCTGTTCGGATCGGATCTTTTGCGAGTCTTCCTTGGTTCAAGTTGGCTGGAGAGTCGCTCCCGATTCCGGGAGACGAAGCCGTGACGAAGTGAGACGAGGTGAAACAGGAACATGCCTTCCATTTGCCTTAGGTCGTCTCTGTTTGACCAGCGAAACGCTAGACCCCCTGCGGGGTTCCTGATCTTGTCTTTTTGTTCAAGGTGCCTCTGGACAATGGAGTAGTCTTAAGTCATGAGTCATGATCATGTCCCAAGCTGAGGCAAACGGTCGCCTTTAACAAATAGAACAAGCTAAACTACCCTCCAGTATCACTTGAACAATAACCCCAAACCCATTGGCCCTTCGTTCTACTGGCATCAAGGTTTGCTTGGGCCCTGACTACTACGATTTGTCTGACTGATTCCTGACTGGGGTTCAGAAAGGTCCTCAATGATCACCGTTCTCAACCGGGCGGTAGAAGCCCCTTTCAAAAAAAAGCAACCAGCCATCGACAAATTCGAATCCTTCAGCCATGGACATTGGGGAAACTGGCTATGAACTATTGGGGACAAAGCATCTCATGTCCTCCTCAACTAATAATTGAAGAAGAAAAATGTAATCAGTTTCTTATAGCGTTTGTATTGGATGCAATCTGTTCCAAAGCTGATCTGTTCAGTTCAGTTGGAACCTTGAAACGAAGGGCAGTTCAAATCTCCTGGTGAGACAGTGACACGCGCATTTAACTTCAAAGCCCAGTCTTTCGGGTTCCGAAAGAAAGTCTCATGGACCATGCACGTGCAGAGATCGGTGGTAGCAGGATCCAGCCTGGATTTTCTGCATAGTTTGCAGCCACCGATCCAAAGCCCCCCAGAAATTGTCGGCATTTGCGTCATCCTACAAGGCCTCGCCTAGCTGGCCACCTGGCCCGGTGGAATGTTGGCCGTGTGCGCCCACTCTCCAAGCGGCTGGTTTCATGGGCGGCTCGAAAAATGCAGAAGCCAGTTCATTGGTCAACCTCCTGGCTTCTTGGTTGGGGAAGCCTCTGCTTGGTTTGTCTTTTGGTCAACCTCTGGTTCGAACAGGGAACCCTTTTTGGGGGGAAATCAAAAGGAAACCGCGGCTGTTTTGAAACAAACTCAGTTGTGGGACAAACTCGGTTCTCGGGTTCCCGCACTGTGAGACAAGCCCAGCTCTTTGCGCAACCGAACCTTGGCCAACGGTCTGACACCTTTTCAATACTTCAGCTTTGGCCTCGAGGAATCTGTTCCATGTGTCTTGCGCCAAGGACAAAACTGAATCCAGCTTCAGGAAACTTCACTTTAGCCGAGTTGACGAGTATCATCCAAAATAGGTTCGAAGGGACCCTGGTTTCGTCCAACCGACCCCCTGCAAAAGCTTTGGATTCGGTGGATGCCCTTTGTTGCAAGTAAATAAAGTAAATCAACCACGAGCCATGGTTGAATTTACAGGTTTACAGGGTTTTCCTTGTTCCCTTGCAATATTTAGGGCATCCACCGCTTGGTTCACGGGGGTCTGCAGGTCCGCAGGTCGGTGCCTACTCCAAGGTCAAGGATCCGGACCTGAGCTCGCACGAAATCGAGTGGGGAGCACCGCTGGACTGGGTCTGTGCCCTTTTTGCGGTCGGAAACCAACCCACAAGCCATTTGGAGGCCCCCATTCTTTTGGCAACAAGTAAAAATGCCCACCAGGAATCTACACTGGTTTTCCAGCCCAAATTGCTCAAATGCGCGCCATCAAAGGCATCCAGGCAAAACAACCAGCCACCCGGGCACCTCTTGTCCGATCCTGTCCAAGAAGCCGAGATGCGTCGGTGGCAAAATCCTCTGGACCCCAAAATGGTGGATTTCCATATGTTGAAACACCTATCATACGTTTGACAAAGATACACACTTGACATACCAGAGGCCATGTGGCATCGATCCTAACATGTCTCAGACTAAAGCCCTCCTTCGAACTTGGCAGCAATTCATCGGAGCCTGGGACTGAATGGGTGTGTGAGAACCGTGCTTGTCCTTTTGGTGTTCCATTAAGACCAAAAAAGAATCCATCAAACACAAGACAACCCAAATCGCAACTCTTGATTTGAGGAAATCCAATGACCCCTTTTGCCTTTGCACCATATCCCTGTTCCCCTTGTGGTTGGACCCGAAATGGGTTCCACCCTGACGTGGATCCTTGCCATGGTCAAACTCCTTACGTGGGTCGGAAAGAAATTGGGCCCTTGAAAACCAAAACCTTACAACAATTTTCCAAACTCCATACAAAGAGGTTGATGACCGTCTTTACCAACCCCTTCTGTTCACATCTAACCTCGCTGCACAGCGAGCTGCCGGGGTTAGAGAAGCTGACTTCAGTCCCAACCAGATGGTTCAAGCGGCACTTGGAGGGTTTCCCTCCCCCCAGTTTAGGCAGCTCACCAACGGCATCCCCAAAGCGGAGGATCAAAGCCGAGAAGACATCACAGGCAGCTCTGGTGAAGGGGAGCTGAGGTCCCAAAACGGGTCCCACGGGTCCCACGGGTCCCACGGGTCCCACGGGTCCCACGGGTCCCACGCGGCCTGGGCGGCGCGTTCACCGAGCGGATGTTGAACTTGGCCTTCCAAAAGGGCGAGTCCGCCGAGATCTTCTCCTGAGTCCGAGTCGGATTTCTTCCGGTTGCACGAAGACCAAACCTCCGAAGGGATACTTTCACCCGTGGGAAGAGCGGCCTCCAAACGTTGCTTTGAAGGCAGGCCAAAAGGAAAACTGCAATTGTGGGGGGTCATAAGCACCTTTCAATCATTGGAACTAGATTGTGGGGTACTTTTAAAGCAACATATGGCATGATCATGAGAGAACAATGTGTGCAATGTGCTGTCCCCTTATATTATGTTCCCAAGAGACTTTTCTGGCACCCCGTATGATTGTTTGTTTATCGTTGGTTCTGTCGAGCACCGTACTTGGCCGCATTTGCCCGCAATTTGCCAGGTTGTTTACTTCGAGATGGTGCCTTCCAAAAATGCACCCCGAAAGCATCGTGCAATGGAATCTGTTAGGCCTTAATAGGCCACATTAGAGTTAGGGTGGGCCTTGCCCATCTTTTTTAGGTATCCTAGCGTGCCCCCCTCCCTACGCAAGAACAGCATTTTTCAACCATTTTTTCACTATTCAAATCGTCATCCTTATTCATTATGCATATTTCCACTCAAAACATTTCATAACAGTCTCAACCTCAAAATCCATCAAAAAAGTCACATTTTCTCATTTTCTATTCCATCATTCTTGTCATTGTTAGGATGCTTGAGTGGAAATAGGAGTATAGGGTGGTTCATATGATATGGTTATTGATGGTAGGATGCATGGGCAAGGTTAAGCTCATTCATAAAAAAAAAATGTTCAAAAAAGTAATATTTCTCAAAAAATAATATCTTCAAAAAATAATATTTCTCAAAAAAAATAATATTTTCAAAAAATAATATTTTCAAAAATATTATTCCAAAAATTATGATAAATTATCTTACAATATTTTTATCATAAATTTTGTAGAAATATTATGGGCAAGGTTAGGTAGATAGAATTTTATAACTTAAGTTCAGGATAATAATTCAATTGATGACCATTAAATTGTGTATATATCTTATCTCTTTCATGCATCATTTTAAAAATAATATTAATATCTCTCACGGTATTTATCATTTACAACTACAATTGCACCTAACACAGTAAGGAATAATATTATTCAGTTCGTGCGACAACTCGTTTGATTTACGTTGCGCTGTCAGATTTGTCATTATATTACCATTTTTCATGTCCATAGAAAAACCGCATCCGCAGTAATTGCATTGATTATTTATATTGTCTAAAAACCACTGTGCATTTACATAACCTTCTTTAGGTATGGTTCTTTTTGCTTTCCTGTCCTGTTCCTTGTAGTTTAATATGTTTCTTTCAAAATAACTTAAAATGCATTTTTGATTAAATACATCATCAATATCTTTTGTATATTTATAAAATTTAACTTTGTTTAAATCTCTACACCTTGTAATTGCAGTCCATATCCATTCTGGATAATTCTTTACTAAAAAATGGTTATAATCAAAAATTGTTATGGTATCATCAATGCTACTGCCTTGGGCAGAATGACAAGTTGAGCAATATGCAAATATAAAATTGCTTCTTATTTTAGCAACTTCTACTGCTTGTAAAATTTCGGTTTTGACATTCTTTAATGTAAATATTCCATCGCTTCCAATATGAACTATTTTATATTTGAAATTTACATTAAACACTGATGTGTTAGTTTTAGTATATTCCCTACATGTTAAAAATTCGCCTACTTCGTATTCATCTTTTCTATTTTCTAATTTTTTAATTTCATTTGAGACATTTTTACAAGTTGTATTTAAAAATGCTATGTTGTTGTTAGAATTGCTTATGTCAGTTGTATATTCGAAATATTTTTCAATAACTTTCATAACAGGTAATTTATTTTCAAAAATATCAAATTTAATATTTCTTAGTTTATCCTTATCTTCCTGTGTGTTAAGTCTCTTACATTCTTTTAACAAAATATTATATTCAAAAATGTTATCTATAATTTTATCAGTATATAATTCATAGTCTCGAGTATTTGTTATCTCTTGAACTGGTTTTAACTGCTTGGTGTCTCCCGTTGCTATTATAATTTTGTTGTGTTTATTCTGCTCTACAAATTGTTTTATTCTCCAATATATATTTAAATTACTGAAATAAATTTCATCAAATACGATTACATCAAATTCTGTAAAATCAAATGGTTCTAATTTTGCATCGCCGTAGTTTATTCCAAAAAACTTATTTATAGTCATTGCTTCACCTTCGAATGCCTGTAATAATTTATTAGTAGGACAAATAAATATTACCTTATATTTTTTATCAACCATTTTTTGACATATATATGATTTTCCTGTGCCCGGTAGTTCGCCCCTGATCATAATAGGGTTATTCTGTTTAACAATCTCTATAATGTTATCAGTGTCGTATTCATCTTTAATATCAATAGTTTTACTTTCATGAACTGGTAATTTTTTTAGATCATTCTTAACAACTTCATATTTTACAGTAGGAAGATTAATTTCATTGTCTCGCCCAGAAACTTTCCAACCTCCTATATCATTATGAAATTCTAATAATTGCTTTGCTTTCTCTACATTGTATGAATCAATTACAAAGGCATCGGTTTTCACACTATATACATTAATATCGTTGACTATTAATTTGTGAATGTCTTGGTTCATTTTAAAATTATGATGTTGCATGAGTAGTTCTTTAATATATCTATAGCCGTTTCTTAATACTGCTTTATCCTTTAATTTTAATATATAATATGATGCTTTTATATTTTCTCTATCTATTTCATATTTATACTCTTCCTCATACTCCTCTTCACACTCTTCGTCTTCTGTACCTATATGTGATAACCTATGAATTTTGCCTTCTATCTGTGATAACTTATGAATTTTGCCTCCGTATTCTGTTTGATAATGGATTGCTTCATCAATACTCTTAAACAAAATGCTTTGATGCGCGGTAGCCTCTCCCTTCTCTAATAATCCAAAATTGACATTTCCTATTAATTTTTTACTTAGTATATCATCAGTTTTATCATCTTCATCTATAGTAGTTTTCCAAAGTTCATTAACCATATCCTTATAGTTTGTTTTATGAATAAACGAAGGTTGTTTATAATATAATACTTTAATATTATATTGATTAATAAACTTTTTTAAAAACTTACCATACACTAAATTATATTTTTTATTAAACATTAAGCCCTCTTTATTCCCCAGTAACGTTTTTGTCATTATGAATTCAACTTCTTCTTTTGATTTAAATTTTAAACTTTCCTCCAAAAGATGGTTACGTTTAATACCTTCCATACTCTATTTATTTGGTATATTCGGATAGTTAACTTCAATATAATATAATGTTAGATCGTGGAGTTCATCAATATTAATTGCATCATTGTATTCTTTCCAATTGTCAAACTGATTAAAAACTGGTATTTCAGTAATATCTATGAAACCTTTTGTAAATGCCTTATTTTCATCGATTTCAGTTTTACACATTAAATTAAATTTATCCCATAATAATCCCGAAGGTGCTACAGTCCTTGTTTCGTTTAATATGTTTATATCAATGTCATTATAAAAAGATTTGTGAGATAAAATAAATAAAGATTTATTAAAATTAAACATTGCTTTATTCATATTGTTGTACATAGTTTCATTATTTGCTGCGATCCAACAATCGCTGGATGATTTAATTAAATTTTGAGTCTTTATGATATATGTTATCTTGTTAAATTTGACTCTAATTTCATCAATAATACCTGTGTATTTAATTCTGGGTTCATATCCAATATTTATCAACTGGAAAAATATTTCTGCCAAATCATTATCTTCGGGTACTAAATATACTTCCCTTGTTTTATCATCAGTTTTAATTTTAAGTATATCATCTATACATTTAATCATTTTGTATTGCGGTGGTTCCTCTCTTTCATTTATATAATAATCAGTGTGTGCCTTTATAGTGGGTAGTTTTGATATTACTTGTTTTTGTTGTATTTTGCTTAAATCGTGGTTTAATGTATAATATGGTTATTTTTCACCATAGCGTAAAATGTTTTAATATGACGGTTTCTTATTTTTGGGTTATATTTGTAAATAAGTTCATTTACAAAATTAAAAATTCTAACTTGAATATTAAACTGCTTAAATACTGCTTCCATTTCTTGAATGGTTGCTCCTACTTCCTTAAAATCATTCCTACCTATGATTTCAATAATTTTATCTCTGGTTAGTCTGTTGCGGGTTCTTTCATTCATGATTGTATCACTGTAAAAATCAGTTAATGAATTTATCCAACATTCATTTTTAATATAATTGCCTTGTTTAATTGCCTTTCGTATAGTGTCCTCACTCATTTTTAAATGTGTGTATATATATGCATGGAAAATGGATACGTTAGATGAATCTCTTAAATTTTCTGCTAATATATCAAACTTTTTACCTGATTTATTCATCATCTCCACGGACAATATTTTTATACCATCTAAGCCATATTCCTGATTTTCTAAATGTTCCATGTGTTTGGCAAACTCCTCGTCGTGTTTCATTATTTTTATTATTTTTGTAAATTCTGGATTTATTTGTTCCGTCTCTCCAAAATCAGTATCCATCGAAACACCTGTTTTTTTCAAAATTCTCTTGCGGGTAAATTCCTTAGGAAATTATTCTCCTATGTCAACTGTAGCACTTAATCGCTCATAGTTCCAAAGATAATAATACTCATCAAATGCTTTAAAGGCGGGTTTTGATTTCATTTTCTTTTTATCACCAATTATATAAAGGTCATACATAACAAAATATGTATCTTTTTTCCTTCCTCTACTCCCTATATATTCATTATCTTTGATTGTCCTATATTTTCCACCACCACCCTCTTCCTTTTTATTAGTTGCTCTTGCTTCTGCCATTCTTTCATTTAATGGTTTTGTATCCTTGATCTTTTTGATATTATCTTTGTATTTGTGAAATGCTTTGTCATAAGCCTTTTTATCAGTAGATGTTAAACCTTTGATATAATTTTCTGCAGTTGCTACATTTG